TTTCCCCAGCAACATAGTGTCACCCCATGGTGTAATGCAAAGTATTTTGGGGTTTCCCGGTCTTGAATGGGCAGTTGGGTCCCCTTGGCTTCATGAAAGCCCTGCCCTGGTTGGAGATGAGACGTGCTAGGCCTAAGTTGTTTCGATGGACTTACCCAGAGGCATGGAATTTGGGACACTCGTGAGAGGCCTTTCTCTGCAGACCCTCACCTCCTGATGCTCACCTGCACCTCCACACTGGGCAGGGCTGCACAGGCATGACACCCCTGCTCATCGATCCTGGATGCCACACTGCAGTGCCATCTCCTTGACTTGGCCGTTTCAGGGTCCCTAGTGAAGTTCTCAGGCAGAGTGTAAGGATCAGGACCTTGGAAAGGGAAGGAGACATTTCAGAAGGATGTGATGAAGAAGGCATTCCTTGACACGGTCAGGAGATGACAGGTGAAAGTGGAGCGATTACAGAGTGTCCGGCAATCCCACTTTCTACCCCACAAGCAGCAGGAGTCACCTTGAGGGTGGAGCAAGAGGCTTTTCTGAAAATGGGGAAAGAGAGCAAATTTCAGCTTGAATTTGGCTCCTTATGTGGGCAGATGCTTCTCTTAAGGAGAATGGCATTAGGATTCATACTGTACTGTAACCTCTGAAGGCTCTGCTCCTAAAGAGTCATCTGGATCTGCTGGACAGGGAAGAGGGGAGAGAAAGGAAAACATGTTCCTTCTTGGGCTTTGGTCATCCAAAGCACCACCCTTCAGCAAGTCCTGGCAAATGGACGCAGCCGCTTCACACAGATTGGAACACTTCTCAGTCTGAAGCAGTGGAGCCTGGTGAACGTGGGCAGGAGAGAGCCCTCCCTATCCTGCTTGTGGGCAGCTGGTTGGCCACTGCGTGAACAGATTGCTGGACAGGATGGACCCTGGGTCAGATCCAGCAGGGTTTTTTAAGTTCCTAAGCCTGAAAGCAAAGCTCCTTCCGCCACCAGAGCGGGGCATCTCGTGCCTGCCCTTCTGAGTGGAGCCACACCTGCTCTTACCCCTACGTGTGGCTGCTGCCATGGTGTGCCCCCATAGCCCCCCAGGAGGGATGTCTTTCCATTGTATTCCCATGAGGGGGAGGGCTGTCCCACAGCCACAGGACCCTGTTCCTCAGCCAAGGTTCCATTTGGATGCCAGGAAGCCCTTCCTGACAGTCAGGACCCCAAGGGCGTGGAATGGGCTTCCCCGGGAGGTGGTGGAGGCCCCATCGGTGCAGGTGTTCAAGGATAGGCTGGACGTCCACATGGTGGACATGTCGTGAGCGGAGCCGGCTGGTGTCGGAGGTCAGACTAGATGGCCCAGGAGGCCCCTTCTGACTCGCGCTGTTTTCTATGTTTCTGTTTTCTGTGTTTCTACTGGTTTCCCTTGGCTTCCAGCAGTATGGCTGGGGTTTTCAATGTGGGACCCAGTGTTGGTGGGAACCTCTCTTGGGACTCACCAGACAAGCTGCCCCTCATATTTTTCCAAATAATTCCAAATAAATAAATATTTTCTTTTGATTGGGAGGGGCCAAGTGCTTCCCTCCACTGTGAAATTGATTTGCTTTCCAAAGCGTGGCTTTGTGTTTTGGAGCTCAGACCCCCCACCTGGAGACATTCAAGGTGGGCTCTCCCACACCAGAGACATTCGGAAAGAACCTGGACAGCCATCTGAGTGGGACGGTGTAACTTGGTGTCCTGCAGCAGCAGGGCGGTGGACCCGATGGCCTTCATGGCCCCTTCCAGCTCTACTATTCTAGGATTCTATGACCTCTGAGCTGCACTGGGCAAGTTACTTTTCTTATAGCACTGCTAGTTTCCTTCTTGGAAATGACGGTTTGTGCCCTCGTGTATGAGAAGGTGGGGCTGAGCATCCCCTCCCTGCAGCCGCTAAAGTGGCGCTTGCCGCTGTCTCGATCTGGGCTGCTGCAGGGCTCCTCCTGCTGGCCAAGCACCAGAATAACAGCCCTGGCAGTTGCAGGATTGGTTCCAGACTCTTCTGCTGCTGCAGCCTAGGCCTTCATGAGCCCCACCTGGGAGCCCTGGGGAAGAGCTATTTTCAGACTGGCTCTTCCCCCCCAGAAGCTGCTGCTGCAGCAACAGCAACTCCAGTGGGCCTTGCCTGAGCCTTCTCCAAGATCCCCGCTCCTTCTCATGCTGTGTTCCTGGTTCCTCACCTCTGGCTCATGTTGACCATGCTCTCATTTACTGGACTGCATTGTGATGGACTCCTGTTTTTGACCTTGGTCTGCTTGGTGTTGTAACTTGGCCTTGTGGCTTGGACTGGGGATTGGCCTCAGGTCTTATACCACCTTGCCTGGTGGTCCTGGTGTCTTTGCCCATTATCAGACGGCCTGCGCCCCGGATGGATGCACAGCCCCAGAGCTGCAGCTGGCTCAGAAAGAGCCTTGCCAATGATGAGGGCAGGGGGAGGCCACTTCTAGTACGGAACCCCAGCTGTGTCCTCGGTGCTCCTTCCAAGCTGGGGCGCTGAATGATCCTATGGCCTTCCAGGCAGCACCTGGCAGCCACAGGATGGCATTTTAATCATGCTTCTGGAAAATGAGCAGGTAGCACAGAGATATCAATTTGAAAAGGGCTTGAACATTCAGCCTCCTTTTCTTGAAGCCTACATATAAGTTACATGCCTCTCACACAGGAGAAAGCATTCTAAAAATTTGGGTGCAAAGGGATACCAATTTGGGAGCACCTTGTGGGCACTGAGTGCTGGGTTAGGGTCCCCAGCTGCATTGGCCCTTTAAGCAATTCTGCCCCTAGTGACTCAAGATTCCACTTCAGCCACATGGACACTTTTAAATTACTTAAAATCAATGGACAGATTTTTAAAAAGCATACCCCTAGGCACCCCTTAGCATGCATGCCAAATTTCAGATGTCCGGTTTCACTGTCAGGGCCCTATTCTCCTAACCCACAGACAGACAATATCGTCCTTTGCTGGTATAGATTACTTGGCGTTCTACAGCCAACAAGACTTTCTTGGCCTTTCTTCTTCTCTGAGGTTTGTTGCCAACAGATTCTTCAGGTCTATAATCTCAGCACATTTAGAAGGATGCTTTGGTGTACCAGCATTTTGTTCCTTGTTTGCTCAGTTTTCATTTGCTTTGACTGATATTTTGTTGTTATAAAATATATGTTTATTATCCACTCTGAGAAAGTGTAGGGTTCAAAAGCAGATTATGAACTTTTAAAAGAAATATTTCAAGGAAAGGAATATTTTTTAAAAAGAAAAAAGGATGTGACATTGAACAAAAGGTGGTTGTTGCATATACTAGCTTTTGAAGTGAGTTATACGATAGGAGTCAAAATTTTAAAAATGCAATACAAAGTGAAATCAGATTGATTTATGGTACAGGCCCAAATGGAAGCCCTGTGCAGTACAACTCTATGCATCTGTGTGTGTTCGGTTATGCTTACCTCCAGGTAAGTGTGCACAGAATTCCAGCTAGACGGAGAATGCTCGGAATCGTGGAACTTTTTTCCATATAAACTTACAAAGGATTGTCTCCTAAATCTCTACCCCCGAAATCCTTGGAACGTCAACATGCAGGATTCTTCAGCATGCGGAAAAGAATCCTGCACCAGGAACCTAACTACACATCGCCTCATCATTTCCAACACGCATGAAGGGTCGGAGAAGCAGGAAATAAAATGGATTTCCCCATAAAATTCTGTCATTTTGTAATTGAGCGGCTTATCAGTGATTCAGAACTGCATATGCAGCCTCTTGAATCGAAATAATTTGCAGTACTGCCACCCTGTGGCAAAATCCCGTATTTATTCATCCTTGCCTCGTCCTTTGGTTTTGAATAGGTTATTTTGGAATGCATGTGCTCAGTAGGATCAGATTGTTACCAGAGAGGTCCGGTGGAGTGTGACCACCTCACCTGTTGTTCTGTGCCAGCAAAACTCACACATCTATCCTCACTGAAGACCAACAGGCTCACCTGGACCACTTTGTTAAGGTTCCTGGGTGAAACAGCTCCCTGTATTTGCAGTCTCCCACACAACGCCCATGGACTAACTCATGGCATCCACTGCATCCTCCACCTTCTCTTTTAAAAACACATTTTTGTTTCTAGTAAAAAGCAATGGTTGGTGTGCATATTACTCCATGGGAACCTAAGGTTTTTTTTAATGAACACACGGATGGGCTGCAGCCTAGCTCTTTAATTTTGTGCATGCCCTGACACCCAGAAAAAAGGTAAGGTGGGTTGGTATGCAAGATCCTGGGACTCGAGCAGGTATCACAAGGAAGATGTTTCTCCTGTTTGTTTGGTTTCCACAAAATGGGCATGTTGCTGTGCTTTCTGGGACTCAACGTGGGATTTGGCGTCTGGGGATTCCATCGCACCACTTCCGCAGGGTCAGGTGGTCTTTCTCTGCACCTCACTAGTTTGTAGGCTCAGGAGATTAGCTTCAGTGCTTGGACAAGATGCTTAACTTGTAGTCAACACTTTCCATGAAATGGGTCTTCTATGGAGATGCCCCCAACTTCACGGCAACTATTTTGAAAGGGATCTCCAGCATTCCAAATATGCCCAATAGTCTGGGACTCCTGGTCTCAGTGCTTTGCATCTTTGGAATCTTCTGGACCAGTTTTACATACATAGTATGCCTTCCTTCATTTCTAACCCACTCAGGTTTTTCCTATCTTAATTTTGCAAGCACTGCAGAAGCCCCTAGACAAGTAAAAAATGAAGGACTGCAATGCCCTTGCCCAAACTTGTTACCAGTAGGATGTTCCTAAAGTGCAGGAAGGAAATACAGTTTCCCCAGTATCTCCAGGTAGGGTTGAGAAAAATTCTCATCTAAAACCTCAAGGAGATGCGAGAATTAGGCAAAGGTTCTTTATGTACACAATTATAGAGGCCAGAGGATTTGCATGAGCTCGACCCAGGTTTTTTTTCCAAAAAAATAACCAAAACTGCAAAGTAGGCACAGCGATGGACAAGGAATAATAAGAAAAAGGTGACAGTAGTTAGAAATATAGAATTTATTTCAATTTACAATAAGGCAACATGACATCTCAGACAGTTAAGTGACAGATACACAAATAAGCTGTTGCCAACACAGTCTATGAGAGCAGTGCCTTCACAGAACACTTATTTCCCTCCAGTGTGTGTCCTTCCCCTTCCTCCTTTCAGTCTTGTATTTTGAAGGGGCAGCACTGGTTTGCAAGGTTGGAGCTTGTTACAGTACTGGCTCGTTCTCCGGTGCAGAGGGCGGGGGTGGGCAGATCCCCAGCCTCTACTGAATACGGTTCCACACTGTTTTTCAAAGATGGTGTGGGTTTCTACAAGAAGCAAACTCCAAAAAAGAAAACGTCTGCAGGCTGTTCTAATTCTTCATTACAAACTGGCAAGGATAAAAACCACCCAGTTCTCATTTCCCATTTATCTATTTAGCCTGATAATAAACTCGGATATTGAGTCCCTCCCTGAAACATTTACTGAACACCACCAACAAAGAAACACCAGTGAAACAACCTTGGAAATGTACAACCATCTATTCAAACACACAGCGGTCCCCCAGGGAGAACACCACTTCCCCCACACTGGCTCCGAGGAGCTCCCAGGGTCACCCAGGGGCTTGCTGAGAGCTGCCATCTAATACACCTGGAAGGCACCAGGTTGGAGAAACCTGCCCGCAGGAACATTTGTTCAAACGTTCCCTACTGATGTGAATGACACGACCGTAATTCGTACAATAAAACAACTTGATTCTTTAAATTAGCAATATTTTATGTACATTACCCTTGTGGGCTAAGGTTCAAAAGCTTCACCCCATTTTAAGCACTGGGATGCTCCGATAGCCAATTCTCTTTTCCAGGCGTCAAAAGCAGGAATCCACCGGTGGAGGGCAGCAAATGGACAAGCACAAAGCAACGTGCTCCACTGCTCGCACTTGGTGGTTTTATTTATTCATTCAATCATTCTAATGGGGGGCGGGGAGAATCCACACTTGTCTACAGTGATCAGGCAGGAGAAATGTCAGCTGCAAGCAATCAGTTCGTGTCCGCTAGCCGAGCTGAAGATGCTCCATTCCCTATTATCATCTTGCTGTAGTTCTTCTGCTCTTCCTCCTTAAAAGTTTCCTTCACTTTGTCTCTTTTCAAACCTCCATCCCTGAAAGAATAGAGCAGAACAAGAAACATATACGATGTCAACAGGCTATTATTTCTATACCATCCAACAGCCAAAGCTCTCTGCACAGTTCACAGCGATTTGGTGAGTCTTAATCCCCAGCATTCACAACAGACTTTGGTGGCCTCCAACAAGTTCAAAGCTAGCTTTGGCTAGAGTGTCAACTGCAGCCCTTCCTGATACGAAGCCCTTCTCTCCTAAAGCAGGGATGCTGCACTTCAGGACAGGGGGCCCAATCCAGTCCATCTGCAGTCCTGCTCTGGTTTTCCAAGGTCCCCTGCCTCTAGCTTCACCCACTTTCCTTCCACCCCTGATTGTTTGGTGGTTTCCTCAACTTCTGAGCGTTTTGTTTCCCATTCTAAAAAGATGACATACCTCTCCTAAGGCTTAGTTTGTTGTTGTTATGTTCATCAAGTCATCTCTGACTTATGGTGACCCTGTGAATGAAAGCCCTCCAACATGCCCTTTCTGTGACAGCCCTGCTCAGCTTTGTAAACTCAAGGTTGTGACTTCCTTTATGAGGTCAACCAACTCCTGTTTGGTCTTCTCCTTCTTCCGCCTCTGACTTGCCCTGGCATAATGGTCTTCTCCTGGCAATAAAAGCTTTAAGCTGATCATCTTGCCCTACCCATGTTTGCCTTTGGTCCCGAACACAACAGGAATTCAGGCACACAAAAGCACCTCCAAAACTGAATTTACTCCTCAGGCTGAAAATGATTCAAGGCTCCTGCCTCAAAGGCAGAAGCTCATTTTTGTTCTCACCAAGGCAATTCAGTAAGCCCTCCTTGGCGTGCGATGGCAGACTTCACTCTGTTGGCAAATTGAACAGCATCCTCTCCGTTCTGCAAACAAACCAACACGCAGTTAGAATCCAGTTATCTGCAACCCACATGAACCCAGTAGGGAGGTTGGCTTTTATGAGAGAGTAGACGTGAAGCAGAGAAGGGTTTCTGCTCCATCGCCACCAAAACATAAGAGCAGCTCCACCAGGCAAAGATGTTTCTGAGTGTCACAGTCAACCATGTCTATGATGGGGGCAGAAGGTACCTCTCTTGTCACTGGTGGCATGTACCACACATGGCAGACAATGGCCCAGCTGGTCATGATTCGCAGGAGGTAGCTCACGATGCCATGCTTGCTGCTGTTCCAGAAGGCATCTCCGAACTGCGGGTCATACTGCAAAACAACAGATTGGGGGGCACTGTCATTCCTTAACCCGACAGGAAAAGGCCCTGCCAATCAGGATACTACAATTAGGGGCATCCTTCTAATCTGTGTGCAAAAAGTTAAACATCTACAACTCCTACAGCAGTTTAAATGAGAACGGGAGAGCATCCTGATGGATCAGACTTGTCCAGTTCGGTATCTGGCTTCCACAGCGGCCAACCAGGTGCCTTCCAGCTGGACCGAGTGCTACTCTAGCTTCCCTTTGGCTGAGCACAGGCTAATTTTGCTGGCAATCCAGATGACGGCAGAACAGACCCGGCTCAGAAAAGGCTGCCGACTGCACGAGACACTGGTGCGGTCCCCCTGCTCCTGGACACCTGTCCTCTTCCCAGGTAGGGTCGCCTCCAGGCCGTGAAGGGTTTGTGGAGGCCATTTCCAAGCATGCACATTCGGACACTGCAACTAGTGGAGGAATGTCTTAACCGCCTGCAAGCGCATCATCTGCTCCTGTGCTGCCTGCCCCACGGGGACAACATGTTTCCACACTCTTACCTTGATGGCAACTGGATAGATGGTGCCACCTATTTCAAAGCTTCCCTTTTTAAACATCATTACTGAGGTGTTGTTTATGCAAGTACCTAATCAAAGAGGGGGAGAGAGAACAACACATGGGTGGTCAGTAAGAAACACACACACACACGCACACGCACACACACCCCATGCAGCAATCGAGTGGCTGCAGCCGGCTGCACAACTGAAAACTTTCCTAGGATTATCCTCCCATTCAGCTGAAGCAGCAGCCAGTCCCTTTTGGCAGGTGAGGCCACCTTGTCTTCAAGGAAAGCCCGCTCGCACCTGAGATGCTACGTTCCCCTCCCTTCCTCTACCTTGGCAGGAGACCAATGGCCTCCCGTGAGCACCTGGGTCAGCCCAGTCTTAGAACAGCCCCCCGTGTCCCTAGCTGTGAACAGCCATGTTGTCGCTTCCGGTCACTCATTCCTTGGCTCCCCTCTGCAGCACAGGTGCACATGGGTGCGCACACGAAGGCATGGAGGGGAAAGGGAGCCTTGCCTCACGTCCCCTTGGCTGAACGCCCAGCAGCCCCACTTCCTTAACATTCATGCTTTCAGGGGGAACATCTAAAAGGGGAGCAGGTGCATGTCCTAGTTGTACAAACAACTAGGTATTTAACTAGCAGTATTTTAAATGTTAATATTATTGAATTTTATTTGGCCAGGGTGGCTTGTTTTATAGTGTATGTTTTATATTATATATTTGTATTTTGTTGTATATATTTTAAAATGTTATTTTAATTTTTTGTTGTATGCCGCCCTGAGGCTTCGGCGAATGGGGCGGCATAAAAATGTTTTAATAAATAAATAAATAAATAAATAAACACAGAGCCAGAGCTGGGGAAACTTGACCTGGGGCCCCAGTCCAGTCCTCCCGGGGCTTCCAAAATAGTCACACTCCTTTTTCCCAACCACCAATGAGTTTCTGAGTGTCCAGGCAGGTTTCCCCCACACCCTAATGGTTGAAATGCCTCTTCTAAGTCGTGTTGACCAGCAGGAAGAGCTTCAAGACAAAATGTGCTAGATTGGTGGGGGGTATGTTGGCCCCCTCCCCTTTGCCTTCATCCCCAGCACTGCTGGAATGTGGCCTCTGAGAGCTTCTCTGGCATTGAATGAGGGTGCCCACCTCTGGCATAGAGTGGCCTGCAGGCAGCCAGGTTTCCTGCCTAGTGAGAGCCCTTCATTCCTCCTCGTTCAGTTGTTGTGCTTAAGGGAGGGAGCCAGGCTGACTGATGAGGCAGGCGAGCGCGGCCCTACTGTCCCCCCCACGTGCTTACTATATATGGAGGACTGAGGGAAGATTCAGTGAGTGAATGAGACTATCATTTTCAACCATCTTTTGCCTGTAAAAGCACAGGATCCAGACCACTTGGTGACATTCCACTAGGCTGTTGAAATACTCAGCCTGAGAAGGGTTCTGGCAGCAAAGGACAAAGCCCAAGGCCAGCATTTTTGATCTCTTAAAAGCAACATGAGCAAAACAAACAGGGGTTTATGGGTTGGGGGATTACCTTCTGGAAAAATTAAGATGGGCAGCTTGTCCTTACTGGAAACATGTTCCCTCAATCTAAAATTTAAAAAGGAGAAATACTTCAGTTCATCTCAGTCCTGCGAGGTGGTATTTCATAGGTCCTTCCCCAGTGCTTCTTGATACTTATTTTCAGAGCACTTTTACAGATCCTGTACATCACAAGGCAAGGTCTTCAGTCGAGAGAGGAAGGAAAGATCCTCAGCAGAACTCAAGGATCCACTCCAGGTCACATTCAGAATTTAAGAGTCAGATACACATAGTATATATCAGCCCTCACCAACTAGGTGCCTTCCAGATGCTCCAAGGTAAAAGTCCCATCAGCCCCAGACAGCACAACCATGTCCTGCTTTTGTGCTTTTTCACTGGTATCTGGTGGGAGCAGACCAATCGTATGCTTTTGATCTGATCCACCTTACTTCCTAAACTTGCGCTGAGAATGATAGGAATTGTGGGTCAAGGGATCTGGAGGGCATGAGGCTGGAGAAGGCTGGCACTAATTTAGAACAATGTATTGTGCTTAACTTTGTTTTAATACCATATAATGATGTATACAGTAAGGTTTTAAATCACCAAGGTCTTTTTTTAAACCAAAGAGATTTGTGCCTTTGAATTGCAGAACCAAAACCATTTAATTAATGGTTTGCGAACAGTTTCTACTTGTGGAATAGAAGCTCCTGAAGAATATTCATGTGTGGTCTCATGGAGATTGAAGCCCAGGCCAAAAGGACACAAATCTGCCTAAAAAGTGCATATGCCAATTCATCTTTATATGAAATTAAAAACTAATTGCTGGCATTTACTTAAATTTCACAGAAGGCAAAGTCAGTCAATTAATTTCATATAATAATTGCCTCAAATTAAATAAATGCTTTAATTTGCACCCTACCCAGGATCATTTCAGAGCAGAAGTGGAATGAAGTAAATAAATAGTTCCCATTCCATTGCAATTAATTTGCAATTTTTCACCGTCACACGCTCTCTTCCCTTCTTCCCACATCTCCCTCTTTTCCTCCTACAGGAAATGGTCCCCACACCACATGCAATTAAGCTTAAAGGAAATATTCCACCGGCATCAGTGCATACATTAGGCCTCTGTGAACTATTTCCAGAACAAAGGTCTCACAAGCCCAGGCACAGCAGTAGCTCTAAATCCCAGTGTAAGAAAAGGGGAGACTCTGCCACATATTCAGCTTTCAAATGGCATCTGATTCAGGGAATTAAAAATTCTCCCTTGCCAACCGTTGCACAATGTGGGAGGCCTGCCCCATCCAACTTCCCATACAAGTTATACATGCTAAAAACTTGCATCTTGGGACTGAGGGGGTTGCATGACAGTGTGTCCAGAGACAGAAGAGCAATTATTGGGTCTTGCAGGTTAGAAAGGAGAAAGAGTATAGGCCTGACCCTCAATTTAGCCAAGAACCTCACGGAGGATCACGAGCCCAAGTACAGTCTAAATGCAACTGACTATCCATGGGTAACTTCCAGGATAGCACAAGAACCAGTGAGCATTTGTAAGGCACAAATATTTGACCATTAGAACATGCAATGGCAGAACATTGGAACATGCAATTAGTTTCAAGCCCTGGGCCAAAAAGAAAAAGAATTCTACCTTTTTGTCACTAGATGGCGATCTTTCATTTCGGACCGTTCAAACCAGACGTGCGGACAGGCCTTGACGGTGGCTCTTTGAATGACGCCCATCAGGCCCCCATGAGCCTGGCCAACCTGAAAGCCCCACAAGCGACAACCAACCTGATTAAATCGACCTGGCTTCCCGCAAGATAGTTCCCTTTAGCTAAATAATGAAACAAGGGGTGTGCAAACTTTTAGGAATAGTTTGAGGAACCGTCCTGGACACCAGCAGAGAATGGCAACCACGAAATGTGAGGTACAGAGCAAGAATAGTACTGTCAATTCTTTGCTTTGCAAGGGAATCTATGCAAAGGTAAAATGAAGCTCCTCAAATACTATTCCTTAGAATCTACACACAATGCCTCCAGGAAGCATTAAACGCAACATATTTACCCTACTCTCCCTTTTCTATCCCCTCCTCTATTTCTCCCATATCAAATTTTAGATTGTAAACTCTTCCCAGTTGCAATGTATGGCTGTGAAAGTTGGACCATGAGGAAGGCTGAGCGCCGAAGGATTGAGGCCTTTGAATTGTGGTGCTGGAGGAGACTCCTGCGAGTCCCTTGGACCGCAAGGCGATCAAACTGGTCAGTCCTAGAGGAGATCAACCCTGACTGCTCTTTAGAAGGCCAGATTCTGAAGATGGAACTCAAATACTTTGACCACCAAGTGAGAAGGACTCCCTGGAGAAGAGCCTAATGCTGGGAACAATAGATGGCAAGAGGAGAAGGGGACGGCAGAGGATGAGGTGGCTGGATGGAGTCACTGAAGCAGTTGGTGTGAGCTTGAGTGGACTCCGGGGGATGGTGAAGGACAGGAAGGCCTGGAGGAATGTTGTCCATGGGGTCGCGATGGGTCGGACATGACTTCGCGACTAACAACAACAACAACAACAACAAACTCTTGGGGCAGAGAACCTGTTCAATGCCCAGTATGCTTTCTCTCTCCTTTCTTTCCTTCTCGGTCTTTGCGTCAGATGTAGCAGTCATACAATTAACAAAAAGCCATAGAACAAAACAGAATCAATGGCCTGTGCATAAAACACGCCACCAAGATAAAATCGTGAAGCCTGGGTGAGCACATCCCATTATTTTTGCCCAGTGTCAGGCGACATCAGGGGCATTTGGAGCCACTAAGACTGGATCTTCCGCCATAATCTTGATGGACAAAATGTGCCCTGGCTAAGCGTGAAACTGCTGGCTCTTCTCTGCGTTCGCAAAGGGCTGTGTGGATGCGAAAGGCCGTTTTCTCCATTTCATCCTAGATCTGCCAACACCAGATCCTGCTCACTGACTTCCAGGTTACGCAGTTCTCCATGTGAGCAGGGGCTAAGTTTTCCTGGGGCTCCACCCTCTTTTGGAGATGGGTGGCTCCTTCTCTCCACAGTCTTATCCTGGCATTCTCGACTGTTTCATCACAGTTTCCAGAGAAAGTGTTTTCTTGCCTTTACTCAGGGGAGTGCAGGGAAGTAGCCAGAAAATGAGTATATGTTACTCACTGTTTGTTGGCGATGCTTAGCATCTGTGAAATGGCTCTCCTAAGTCTTAGTTACTGGCATTCAGATTTTAAAGATCACAATCATTTTACCTTTGGGCACAATGTAGCTTCTCCAAAACTGAATTAAGCCCTCAGGTGGAATGAGCTACTGTACCCCGTCTTCAATGAAACACCCAGTCTAGTGTGTTTTCATACTGTTAGTGGATGCTGATGTTACTTAAGCATCATCTTCTCTTCCTTAAATTTCCCACCAAGAAAAAGCTCAATTCAGAGAGTGACTTCTTCATAGTTACAGGAAACTAGGAAGCAACAAAGAGCCCATGACAGCTTTTTAAAAGTGTTTTCACAACTCTGGATTACTGCAGTTACAACAAATTCACACTGCTCTGACGTACCATTGCATAACAGCCATCATTCGTCAAGATTATAACATCGATTGGAGATGTGTGGTTTGCAACACAAATACCTCCCTTCTGGGGCTTGTTCTCTCTGCAATAAGAGGACATGAATTACCCACAGCTTTGTGGTATAGTAATGCTATGATTTCTGGACTTCCCAACAAGGTTCACATTAGTATTCAACACACTAACACATCCCTAAAAGCATAACCTGTACATTTTTAAAAAAATATATACCTTTTGAAAAATATTTGGTGTTTTTCAAAGCTGTAATTTTCTAGCACAAGGAGCACTTTGAACATTACACAGGCTTTAAAAAACACACTTCTAAAGCAACCACAATTAAAACAGCATACAAAAAGCAGCATACAATATAAAAAGATGCCTGTTAAACACTGGTCTGGTTTCAGGAATAATTATTAGCCTGTGACTGACTAGTTTTTCATTTGCCTATGAAAGGTATTAAAAGGAAGAGCCCCAGCAAGCCTCAGGTCCCACAAAGTAGGGGAAAACAATGGAGACAACCTTAAGAATGCTACAGATATCACTTAAGAAAGCATATCCATGTAAGACACATTGAAGCTTTTCTAAACTATAACCTCACAAAGTGGCATGTGAAGAGACACTTCAGAAAGGACTATATGAATACATCCTATCACTTCTGCGCACTTACAGAAGGGGAGCAGTGGGGAGATAGGTCTTCAAGACTTGCTCTGTGGGAACGAGGAATACGGCCAATCAGAAGATAACCCAGATGCTCTGGAGGTTCACCAAGGAATGCCCATGTGCCCACCAACCTAGCCAAATCTTACCAATCTGACAGGTGGAAGGCAGCATTCCTTTAGATGAGGAATGGGCAGGAGTTATATCACCAGACGTTTGTGACTTCAGTTTAGGCCACTATTCCAAATAGGAGGGGCCACCACCAGTAAGGCCTTGCCTTTGTCAGCACCCACTTCACCTCCAAAAGAAACGGGACCTGAAGACGCTCCTCAGGAGAGCATAGGTCACATGGGAGTAAATAAGTCAATAGGTTGTGACCGGTACATGTCCTAGTAGACAGTTCCATAAGATGCACAGCAATTCCCTTGTTTTCTTACTGGGTGGAGGTGTAGTCCTTAAGATCTGGTACACATGGCATGCAGAATGAGGTGCAAGAATCCCGAGGTGACAGACTAGACTGTACCACTTCAGCCTGCAGACGGAGAACATCATTTCCGACTGCTGCCCACCTTAAACACAACCCCTCTTTTTCAGTAACAAGCAACACCGAGCACACGAGGGAGCAATGGAGAAGCTCAGCACACCGCTTGCAGGAGACTTTTATGGAGAGCATGTTTAGAACCAGTGATCCCTCGCATCTAGTCTGCAGTGGTACAATCAGTTCTACATGATGTGTCGGCTAGGCTGAAGTCTTTGCTGCCACCTCCAGCACTCTGTGCCACGCTGCGTCTGCCAATCTAGCTGTGGTACTGGAAGAGTGATTTCACTCACTTATTATGGTAGTAAATGTTGCCGGAGAGCGCTCTGACCAGAATCCGGGAGCATGTCAGATGGACAAGGTCACTCAGCCAGTCTTTGGTTCTGCAAGGCAGGGATATTCAGGAATGAGAAGTTTGGAAATGGGCCATACCCATTCCCCTCAATCGCCGAGTGCCAGCGGCAATTGTAACACAGTGATCCCCCTCCTCTTAATGGCCAGAGCAAGTCAACATGCTTTTCCATTATTCTGTCTGTCTGTCTGTCTGTCTGTCTGTCTGTCTTTCTTTTCATTCATTCATTCATTCATTCATTCATTCATTCATTCACTATAGTCCTCCCCATAGAATGTATGAAAGTTATCTTAGGATTGCATCAGTACAGAAAGAAAGAAATGAAATTCCAAAAATACAGACCATAATTATTTTGCATATATTCAAGCCTAACTTGTACTAATTGAGGCTTATTCTAGAAGAGTAGCTGCTCTGAGTTTGAGGAGTGCCAGACAATTGTTTTGTGCTCCAACAGACTAACAAGTTTAAGTTTATTTATAAGCAAGAGTCTCTTGTAGTTTCTCAATCTCTAATCCAAACGATTTTCTGCCCACATATTGATGAATGGAATAAGCTTCCCGATCTAAATCAATGCAAGGCTGTGCATTGCTCACATTATTCTGAGCATCTCTTTGGTTCTGCAGGGCCATCAAATGTAAAGACAATGAAGCTCTGCTTAACAACAGCTGAAAGCTTTCTACAACTGTGGAAAAGGAAGTCACCGCCCTTCCTCCTCAAATCTCTGCCTCTCATTCTATGTCCATCTCTCATGCATGGCAATGCATCATACTCAAGTATGCCATAATAATCCTTCATAGTAGAGACCAAGGGCAGGCAGGGTCCAGGCCTGGGCAACAGATGGCTTTCCCTGCCACACCTCAGATTGTACAAAATATCTTTTGGCGAGCTGACAGCATTCGCTATCAACACTCTGTTCTTACAGTTCTATGAGGAAGCACTGTCTGCATACCTGGAACAATACCATCACAGATGCAAGATATCTGCCTAAGATGGAATCAAGCATATCCTACTTTTAATTCATTTTGCTCAAGATTTTTTTTATGAATGCAAAGAGATTCACTTACACCCCATTTGGCAGCTGCCCTACCAGCGTGGTGCCCACAATCATAGAAATAATTCCAATGGCCGCCAAGACAGCACTGAAAAATAAAAGGAAGAAGCTAAATGAATTCCCATCTGAGATGAGCAGACCCTGCTAGGAGCATAAGAAAAGACATGTTGGATCAGACCCAGGGCCATCTAGCCCAGCATTCTGTTCACACGGTGCAGCCATCATGGAGAACATGAATTCAAGAGCACCTTAAAGTCTACAAGAGAAGAGCATGTCCAGTAAGTTTGCTCCCTCCTCTATTAGAAAATTAATATGCATTATGTATCACATCCACATGTTGCCTTTCTTGCATGATGGAATGGAAAATAGCATGCATAGGCTTCCTAAGAAGGTCTCCCATCCAGGCACTGACCAGACCCAGACCTGCTTAGTTTCAGCAAGCATGCGGCGTCATGTGCCACTGGGCCAAGTCCCTATGTAATAAATCTAACTGGTACGTCATATGTGTGAATGCCAGACTCCAAAGGCACCATTCAGCTCATGCCCAACTTCAGAAGGCAGCTGTGCTAGGCCCCAGAAGTCAACAAAAGCCACACCAAAGAGGTCACAAGAACCCCAACAGCATCATTAAATAGATATGTTCTGTATTATTTCTTTAGACTTAGTGGGCTTACTGCTCTCTTCGAGCAGAATCCAATGCCAAAATTGAGTATAAATCTCCAGCATAATTTTCTGGCATGCAGCTTAGCCTGTTAACTGAGCAGAGGATTCTAGGGTGAGCTTGGGCACCTGTGAACATCACAATTTAAAATGGCACACAGTGATGGCTGCTTTACTGGGAAACCCCAGTATCCTGAAGGTGGCCTAGTTCTGTCCCTCGACTGGGGATTTTGCCACTGATTTGTTGCAAAGGGAGCCTACACCCCAAGTTGATCCGTCCCTTCAATGACCGTTCCTGCAGCATGTCGGAAAGGCAACCAAGCGCAAACACCAAATCATGACATAGCTTTAGAAACGTACATTTTGTGATCACAGTATATAGGCATTTCTATTTATGGGGGCTGACTTCCCCTAGATCAGGGATAGGGAATGTGCGCCCCACCTGCAGATGCTGTCAGACTGCAACTCCATCATCCCTCAGGATTGGCTATGCTATCCAGGGCTGATGGGAGTTGTAATCCAACAACATCTAGAATGATATGCAGTCCCTTCTCTGCCTTAGATCTTTGCCAGCATGTGAATGTGTAGGCCAAACATCTGGAAGGCCACAAGCTGCTCATCTCAGGGCTGGAAGGAGGATGTGGCAATGAGACCAAACCCATGAGAAGAAGCCCGCTGGACCAGACCAAAAGGCCATCTAGCTCAGCAAGCCATCACACGCTCCTGGTCTTCCTGAAACAGCTGCTACGTTCAGGACACACGATACTGAACAAGACAGAACCACCACCCAACATGCATAAGCTCCCTCTGTGTGCACATACACACGTGCAAGACACACACACCACACTGAACTTACCGAAGAGGCAGCAGTAAGCAATACCGCACCAGGACTCCAATAACCCACACGATAGTCAGCCGTAAACTGATGTAATGGAAATTAACATTGGTCCTCGTGAGGAGATTCCAGGAGACCAGCTCCTCCGAGGTGAACCTTTGAGTGACTTCATCTTCCACAATCGCTTCGAACCCCTTTTTGCAGAAATAAAAAATGTCCGAGAGTTCAAAGTCCCCAGAGCGGAGGCCAGCGATTGCATTCTCCATTGTGGTTGGATCTCTCTGTATGATAACTTCAGAGAAAGGCAGAAGGGAAGGGGAAGGAGAGAGAGGTTATAGCTGGATGAGAAGGTTAAAATGCAGCTCAGCACATCAGTTTGTGTGTTTTTGTTTATTGCATTTCTCAACTGCCCTTCTGAACAAACCAGGGAAGTTTACAAACAGTCCATTTTCTCCCAAGCAAGTTCTTGGAATACTCAGCACCATTTTCACGAACAATTTAAACTCGTGATTTAAGAAAGGAGTTTGCCAATGTTCTGTCTAGGACAGGGATGGACAACTTGTGGCCTTCCAGATGTTGTGTCTTACCACTCCCATAATCCCTTGGCTTCACTGTGTAGGACTGATGTGAGTTGCAGCCAAAACAGATGGGAGGGCCCCAAGTTGCTCTCCCTGGGATCTAAGGGAATGATGCCCTCAGGAAGAAATATTGCCTTTCAAAGTCATGTTAGATGGAAACTCCTGGGCAGGTGGGCTGCCTTTCCCCTCTGCACTGTTGTCCCGGAACAAACCAATCCGAGCCATTTTCTTCGTGAGCAGCTTTCTGTAAAACATTTGCTGTGCAAGTTTTCAAACAGCTAATTGTATGGATGAGAGATCCACAACGCAGCACCCATAGAAAACTCCAATGGTGCTCATAAAGCTCTCCCTACCGCCTTTAATTTTTTCTTTCTAATGTTTTAAATTGGAAAAACATTTGGGACCCAGGTAATCTCTACTGCTCCTGAACTGCTGATCAGAAATTTGACGGACATTAGGGAAAGGAACTCCCTAGCCGTGCCCTAATCTTCTTCCATCCAAACAGGTCTTTCTGCTTTGCTGGCAGTCTTCCTTCCTAGCCCCTTCTCCTGTTCTTTCTCTCCCAAATACCCCTTGACCTCACTGTTTCCCAGCCCCTTCTCTTGTTCTTCACACACTCATATATACAGAGCCGGTTTTTGAGCAGAGGCTCTGAGGGCAGAGGAGGAGTTGGGCGGGAGGCATTTTCATTTGCTTCAGAGCTGCAAAAAGGCTGCATGTGTCCTTTGGACACAGCACCCCTATAAAGGCCTACTCAGAAGTAATTTCCATGGAATTCCACGTTCTAGAGAGAATAGTCTGGTCTATTTTTTGTTGCAGAGCCAAGCCTGTATCGGGGCTCTGCAGACTCCAAGCAGCATGCTTAAAATGCTGCTCCATACCAAAAAGAAATCCATCATGTCAGGGAAGAAGCTAGGCTAGAAGTCTTCCATCAGGCCTCTGGTTCTCTGTATGAAAGGTCGTTATTGTCTCTGTGCAGCAGTATTCAATCATACACAGCTTATCACCTGAGAACCAGGCCTCAGAAACCCAGTGAAAATATGAGATGCTGGAAGAAAGACTGCCTGATGCCTTGAGGACGTCCATGATCTTTCCCACATCCACATATGTCCAAGGTCAAGGCACACTGCTTGAGTGGGTTTCCCAGTCTCTCTTTGCTTTCCATTTTCCTTGTCTTAGCTACCAGAGCTCCCCATTTCTCATCCCCTAAGCCTTTTAGGCAAGGCCTACTGACCCAACCATTTCCCTTGGAAATTAGTATCCACACACTCCTTTTCAATTCCAAGGATCATAAAAATGGAGCCGCTTGTTGACCTTTCAGCTTTTTCCACACCATGGAAGCCCAGATGAAAATATTTGTTAAAAATTCATCACCCAGCATAACTTTATTACAAGATTTAAATCAGGGGGTTGACATTTGCCTAAGACACACAAATAGGAATTGTATTCCTAGATGACTGGTCAGTTGCCCAGCCTGGACTATTGACATAGCTGTTTCAAAAAGTACCACCACTTGTTGATTAGTCTATCTGCCACACCAGAAATTCAACATGGGAGCTTTTCTTTTCCTATCCTAACGAACCTGCTCCTTCCAACAAACCAACCGCACGGGACTTTTCTGAAGATAGAATGAAGAGGAGGAGAATTTAAGCCACCTTGGATTCCTTGCAAAAAGGAAAAAGATGGGATGTAAATGTGCTGGTGGTGCTGGTGATGATGACGATGATAAAAATAAAGACACTCAAGACTACAGAACCTCAATCTCCCTGTACCAAGAGCAATCAAACTTTGCCTTCCATGGAGCTATTCAAGGCTCTGGAGCCCTGCCAGGACGGAGAGGTGGATCTTGCCAGTGCTCCCCATTGTAACGTAAGACCCCAAGGAAGACATGGAAGAGGGCTCAGCAAACAATACAATCCTTTAAGCCAACAGCTGTTGCACAAAAGAGCTTCCCCAGATCCTGTTCCTCAGGGCTGGCTCGACAGGCGATGAATTATGCAAGCAGGACCCGACGTTTTATGTGACAATCTGCTACAGAAGGAGACGCTGCGGTGGCACGAGGGTCATGCTCACAAAGAGAATTGGAGCAGTCTGCAGAAGGGAACTTGGAACGCATAAAAACCACACAGCGGGGGAGACGAGCGTCCACACCTCCCTGGCCACTGGGGAAACAAGAATAGCACAATTCCTTTCCCCGAGTCACTCATGGCCTACTGCTTGATCACGCGATGAGGCCCAATTATTCTGTGCGCCAGCCACAGTGAGGCGAAACCAGAGTTTCAAAATCTGGGTACAAGGAAGTCATATGAAGCAACTACTTATCGTCATGGATGAGTACAAGTGTGTAGAAAGCTATCAAGATTAAAAAGTATATTTATCTATCTTTTATCCAATCTAATATTACAATTTTATCCCAACCTTCCATCGAGGAGCTAAGGACTGTATACACTGTTCTCCTCATCCTATTCCCCTTTATTTGCACGACAGTCCTGCAAGGTAGGTTAAGCTTGTGTGTGACTGGCACAACACTAACTAGCAAGCTTCCTGACTACACAGAAATCTGAATCTAGGTCTGCCTAGTCCTTGTCAAAATCTCTGCCTTGCCAATTTCTAGGCTTCCTGACTGTGGACCATGCTGGCTGAGACCGATGGGAATTAAAGTCCAAAATGTCTGGAGAGCCCCAGGCTGCATTCTGCTGAACTGACAAACCGCTGATCCTGGCTTGTGAGCAGGTACAAATCGTGGTTTCATCATTCACACACTCAAAAACGTGGTCCAGTATTACATTTGTGCGAGTCCAATCTTAACTCACCACACTAATTAAAATTTAGTAATAAATCCACCAATTAAAAGACTTGGAACTTGGGGGAGGGGGGTAAATTATTATTTATACATAAATAGTTTACCACTGGGGGCATAAGTTCAGCACAGAACACATTATCAACTTCCATCAACTACTTTCACATACTGAATTGTTACCATTTTTTCCACTCCAAAACAGATCAAATTTATTTGCACACATTTGTAAAGAAACTTGTCAGATCACCTGTGGCAAGAAAAATAACTGCTTTTTATTCAAGCAGCATTTTAAATGTTAATATTGTTGAATTTTTCTAGCCAGGACGGCTTATTTTATATTGTGTATTTGTAATTTATTTTAATGTATATATTTTAAAATGTTATGATTTAACTTATTTGTTGTAAGCCGCCCCGAGGCTTCGGCGAATGGGGCAGCATAAGAATGTTTTAATAAATAAATAAAATAATAATAAATAAATAATAAAAATAACTGCTTTCAGGTGACCAGGCACAAAAGTGTTACAGAAGTTTAACACATCAAAGCCTCTGAGTTTATGGAATTCAACTTTCATTCAGAATTAATCTCCTGAGAGGCTTTTTCATGGATAGCCAAGCAGTGTTTTAATTCATCACCCCAGAGAAATGTCTACAAATCGCCATTCTTGTTATACAGTGAATGTTTAAGAATCTTACCATTTGAAACGGGGGGGTTCTGTCCATCCTTCTTCTTTTGCTGCTGTTCCTTCTCGTGCTGCTTCTTGATTCCCCTTTCAATCCGCCGTGTGGCCCACTGGTTGGAAAGGAGAGAGGAAGCCCACAAATTCACCTTTTAAGGGGGCATGTGAGCAACATCAAGCGATGTAATTGGGTCCCATTTCTAACTTTGATTATTCCATGCTGCTGCTTATTGTGCTGTTTTAAACACTTCTAATGCTGTTTTATTGGTGTGTTTTATAATATTACCTGCCTTGAGAGTCATAACAGAAATAGGAATGTGGGATATAATAATAAATAACAATACTTATATTGCTTTGCTAGACCACAATGAACTTGAGCTATTATTCAACGCATGCTCGCTCGCTCGCTCTCGCTCTCTCTCTCTCTCTCTCTCACTGGTGTGCATTTTCCTGTTTTGATATGCAAAACCATGTTCACAAAAACCATTTTCATACATGTTTACTGCATACTTTTTTAACCAAATGCCCAACTCAACATATTACCAGTACAACATCGGCGCCACGAAAAAATTAGTAAGCTTCCACATGGACAGGATGACATTGGACATTAGCTGCCCACATGAGTAAGTTGGAACCACTCACAAAATGCCATTTCTGCACAACTTTTATTTATTATTACTACTACATATCTTCACCACCCTTCAGCAAAACGGCTCCCCAGGTGGTTTTCAAAATCAGAAATGCCATAATTAATACAAAATACGTATAAAATGAACATATAATAAAAACACAGCAATACAATTAATAAATACTATAAGGCAAGAAAGCATAATGCCATAATCCCACCACCATCACAGCTAAATCTCATTCAGAGGTACTGCATATATGATACAAATGAGAATAAAGTCTAACTGTTAAAATATTGGGTCAATAAAAACAAAGAAACAGAGCGAGTCAGAAGGGGTCTCCTGGGCCATCTAGTCTGATCCCCGGCTCCAGCCAGCTCTGCCCACGACATGCCCACCATGTGCATGTCCAGCCTATCTTTGAACATCCTCACCGATGGGGCCTCAACCACCTCCTGGGGAAGCCCATTCCATATCTTTAGGGTCCTGACTGTCAGGAAGTGCTTCCTGGCATCCAAACTGAACCTTGGTTCCCTGAGCTTTGCTCCGTTGGAGCGCGTCCTGCCTTCCTCTGCAGGGGAGAACAGGTCTCTACCCATCTCCACGTGACATCCCCTCACAGACCTGTATGTCGCCAACTGTCTTTGCCTGGCACCCAAAGGAATGAAGAGTGAGCACACACTTCTCTGGGGAGCAGATTCCACAATTGGAGTGTCACAGCATTTCCAAAGTTGCTATCATTTTTACCTCTATTTATTTTCCCAGGATTGCTTCATGTCCCACCATTTCCCTATCCATCTCTCCAAGGGTACTTGCAGCCTTCCGACTAATTTGTTGAGCCTGTCCTCAGATTCTAAGATGACAGCCGTCGGGCGTGCAATTGACAAGAGGACGATCACTGGGCACAAGTGATACAGCTAAAATCGTAGTAGATGAACAGATCTCACCCAAGCAGTGAAGAAATGATTACAAGCATCCCAAATTGCGCAAATGAGACAGCTGTCATGCATCAGAGAAATACATCTTCAGAAGTGGCTCCTTTCATTCTGTATCAGAAACTACACTGTGCATAAAGCAAGAGCAGCCCTTCAAGTGAGGCAAGGGGGAGCAGGGACCCAAAAAACCCCAGGAATTTATTTATTAAAAAATCCATCTATTTATTTTTACATGTTCAAACTTCAGTCACCTTCAAAGTACTCTCTGTTTGATGCAATACAGCTATCAAGATGTTTTTCCACTGCTCAAAACAGCTTTTGAACCCATGAATTGTGGTGCCTTTTAATGCTTCTGCCATGTTTTGTTTCACCTCTTCCACATCAGCAAAACGTTTCCCTTTGAGGACTTTTTTCATCCAAGGAAACAAAAAGAAAGCTGCAAGGGGCAAGATCCGGTGAACAGGGAGGGTGGGGCACAAGGGCAATGCCACTGTTGGGCAGAAACTGCCAAACGCTCGGCTGAACAGAATCTCACTCCTGCACATCGTATGTGTAAATCAGCCATCATGAAATAGCAAACGCATTGAAAGAGTCTCCAAAAGAACCTCACTTGAAGCTGAATGCACAACCACAACCTGGGCACACTGATGCAGGTGGGTTCCTAGAATACTCACTTAGTGGGAAAAGCCTGTACTACCAGGGGCCCACCCTCCAGAAGATAATTCCTGTGTTTCTGGGGGTCCCCCCTCATATTTTAGTCTTCATATTTCAAATGATTTAGAGAAAGTTATGACCCTATGGGCTGCAGAGGTGTGGAGCAGAAATATGATTTGGAGTTATACTTGCTTTAAAGTAGTTTGTACAATCCTTGCATCCAAGAGGAATGACACATAACATGTATATAGCCTGTGACCAGGCAACAAACATTTCTGGCAACCTTCAGCATTACCTTTCAGCCTCCTGTAGATCCAGAGTGTAAGGGGGTGTGGATCGCCCCCGGAGCCGGATGGATCCAGATGGATTCCTGGGGGCCCTGGGGGAGTTTCCGGCTGACAAGACTGGTGCTCCTGTCGAGGCTCTGGTCGAACTGTGGAACGGAGAGATGACCAGGGCTGTGGACACGATCGCTCCTAAGCGTCCTCTCCCACCGGGCAGAGTCCGCTCTTCCCCTTGGTATACACCTGAATTACGGGCGATGAAGCGAGCTGGGAGACGGCTAGAGCGTAGGTGGAGGAAATCACGGGATGAATCTGACCGAACACACTTGAGAGCCCACTATCGGGCCTATGCTGTGGCGGTGAAGGCGGCGAAAAAGAAGTTTTTTTCCGCTTCCATTGCCTCCTCACAATGCCGTCCAGCGGAGCTTTTTCGAGTGGTGCAAGGCCTGGTTCGCCTGGGTCCTAAGGAAGATCTGATGCCACCCTCAAAGGCCCGCTGTGATGACTTTGCCAGGCATTTCAGGGAGAAAATCGCTCAGATTCGTCACGAGCTGGACTCCACTAATGAATCAGAGGTCTCTGAGGAGTCGCCAATGCCACCGTCTGGTCCAAAATTACTGGAGGAATTCCAATTATTGTGGCCCAATGATGTGGACAAGGTGCTTGGAAGAGTACGTCCCACCACTTGCCTATTGGATCCTTGCCCGTCTTGGTTAATAAATAACTCCAAGCACGGGATTGGGACCTGGATCTTGGAAGTGGTTAACGCTTCTCTGAGGGAGGGTCGAGTGCCTGCCCCTTTAAAGGAGGCGGTAATACGACCGGTCCTGAAGAAAGCGTCACTGGATCCAGAGATGGCCACTAACTATAGACCTGTGGCCAACATCCCGTTTCTGGGCAAGGTGTTGGAGCGAGTGGTGGCGGAACAACTCCAAGCACTCTTGGATGAAACTGATTATCTGGATCCTTTTCAGTCCGGCTTCAGACCCGGGTACAGTACTGAATCTGCCTTGGTCGCCCTGTACGACGACCTGTGCAGGGAGAAGGACAGGGGGAGTACATCCCTGTTGGTTCTTCTGGACCTCTCGGCGGCTTTCGATACCATCGACCATGGTATCCTTCTGGATAGACTTGCGGGATTGGGGGTTGGAGGCACTGCTTTGCAGTGGTTCTGTTCCTATCTCGACGGTCGATTCCAGAAGGTAGTGCTGGGGGACCATGTCTCTACATCATGGCAGCTATGCCATGGGGTACCACAGGGCTCCATTCTATCCCCTCTGCTATTTAACATCTATATGAAACCGCTGGGAGAGGTCATCAGGAGGTGTGGGCTGCGGAATCATCAATATGCTGATGATACCCAGCTTTACCTCTCATTCTCCACTAATCCAGGTGAGGCAGTGGCTGTGCTGAACCGGTGCTTGGCCGAGGTAAGGGAATGGATGAGGGCCAATAAACTGAAACTCAACCCAAACAAGACGGAGGTCCTGTTAGTTGGCGGATCGGGTTTCGGAGAGGGTGGATTTGACCTGGTCCTGAATGGTGCAACACTTCCTCTTAGGGATAAGGTCCGCAGCTTAGGAGTACTCCTCGACCCGGAGCTTTCTTTGGAATCTCAGGTGGCAGCGGTAGCGAGGAACGCCTTCCTTCAGCTTCGGCTGATTAATCAGCTGCGCCCCTACCTGGAGTACGACTGCCTGGCGACGGTGACACACGCGCTGGTGACTTCCCGCCTAGACTTCTGTAACGCGCTTTACGTGGGGCTTCCCCTGAAGACAGTCCGAACACTTCAATTGGTGCAAAATAGAGCTGCCAGGTTGCTGACGGGGACGGGGCGTTATGCTCACATGACTCCAGTCCTCCATCAGCTTCACTGGCTTCCCATTGAAGCCCGGGCCCAATTCAAGGTGTTGATTATGACCTACAAAGCCCTAAACGGCTTGGGTCCTGGCTACCTGAACGAGCGCTTACGTCCGTATATGCCCGACCGCCCTTTGAGATCTGCGGGAGAGTCCCTTCTCCGGGAACCCTCCATGAAAGAAATTAGGAGAGTAAGTACCCGGAGGAGGGCTTTCTCTGCGGTGGCGCCCAATCTATGGAACGTGCTCCCCAGAGAGGTCCGCCTGGCGCCATCGTTACTGGTTTTTCGGCGCCAGGTAAAGACCTTTTTATTTAAACATCATTTCAATTGTTAAAACATATGATCTGGCCGGGGCAACTTCTTCTTCCTCCTCTTTCTCCTCCTATATTTTTATTTTATACTGATAATTTTAATTTTGTATTTGTAAATCAATGTATTTTTTTGTATTTTTATATTTAATGGTAATTTATTATGTACTATTGTATTTCAATGTATTTTATCATGTTGTAAGCCGCCCCGAGGTTTCGGCAAGGGGCGACATAGAAATGTTATAATAATAATAATAATAATAATAATCACAATCTACCAGTCCAAGACCAACGGTCTAAACATCTGATTACAGGGGCAGAGGAGGAGACTGAAAAATATGATTATCTCACCTGCCCTGGAAGTCAGTGGGCCATAGCTTGTCATCAAGTGTGAATGTTTACAAGAGGTAAAGATCCTGCATAGGAAACAGGGCTACATTCCTGA